ATGACATCGTTGGAAACAGTCCCCTAACATTGCTCTTTATCCTAAGAAAGAATTCAGCTGACTGGAAAACGACAGATACATTGCATGGCAAGAAAGTTAGTTAACAAAATTATGCTTACGGAATCGTGCGTTGTGAAAGGAGAAATGAAACAAGGAGGAGAGGCAACTAACCATGCAGCGAGAATGCAGCGGTGAGCACGAATCACCTTTCCATCATTTGTCTCCAACGATATGTCACAGAAGGATGCATCCAGCATGCCTTTCACCTTTTCTGCAAAGTTTTTGAAATCCTCTGCTTTACTCTTCGTTTTCTCAAAATCCTCGACGTCCTTCTTCAACTTATCAATCGTTGAGGAAACACTCACACATTTCGGGCAAACTGACTGCATGCATATGAAATCACTGCCACTGCAGATGAAGCAAGATGACATTATTCTTAAAACCAGGGTGCACATTCAACGCGGTTCGGCATTTTGGTTCACGACAGTGGTTCCACACATGATGCTATGATGGGACTGACACGTTCTCGGCATGAAAGGAGTAATAGTCACTGAGAATCGTACCTGCCTCGAACGGGCTCTCCTGATTACCAAAACGCACGGGAACCTTTGCCTGACTCCAAAAAGGAATGCTGAAAGATGAAGAGAAGAGTGCTCCGCTCATGATATATACCAACGAGGTGGAAGCGTGAGATTTACACGATATGCGTAGCCCAAGAAGTAACCCAAGGCCCAGGTTGGAAGACTTAGATAGGTGATACACGGTTTGGTGGGTCATAGTAGGATAATGCGTGGTTAAGTGTGGTAGACGTCCAACCTGCTAGGTATTACATTTTCCCAGATCATGGAGGGGGAAATCGAGGATCGATTTTTGACAGTTCGAGGGCGTGTTCTCGATGCGGGAGCATCATCCGGAAGTTGTGATAGTTTCCATTTTGAAAGATTTCAACTGGAAGTGCAGCCTCAAGTCGTTCGGAATTACCGTCCTGAAAATTACAGGAAGGTGACACTGAAAGGAAAAGCTTGCCAATGCACGCACGCCCTTGCAGGAACTCGTGCGGTCTCTCCTTGATATCCTCGTTGAAACTCGTTCTTTCTCAGGAAGCCATGGGCTGTCACACATATAGCCATCAATCAACCACCGCTCCACGCCGATTAGTGCGTTTCCGAATGCCTACGCGTCGTAAATCCCACGCAATCCTGCTACTTCGCTCCGCTTTCCTTCTCCAATTCACCTTCTCCCTCGCCGCATTCGCCGTGTCGCCTGCGACATTTCATCCCGAACCCTCGCGACATCGTGCGATTATTGCAGTCGCACGACCAGATGGAGAGGGCAGGGAAGATGGGGAGGATTGGTCAGACCCATGGCGGGATCGGCGATTTTCGCCGTCGCCCACGCTGCACGACCATGCGACATCCGTGCGACGAGCTCTGGCGGCAGGCGACCCTGGCGATTTGCAAACCAGCGGAGACGGCATGACCGCCGCATTAGGCGCCGCAGGACGCGGCGGATTGGGCCGCCATAGATCGCGGGAGGTCCGGCGCCTCGAGCAGCCAATCACACGCAGCCAGCTGGCGCTTCTCAGCCTGAGTTTCTTCCCAGAAGTTTCCGGAATAGATGTGATTATAGACGACGAGGTTGGAGACAAGGGAGGGAAGAAGCGGACGGAGCAGGTGGCGTTGCCGAATTTGGGGTGTAAAGGCACAATTTGCCCAGAATTTTCAGAATGCGGGCAGGGGATACAGGCGTGCTGGAACCCGGAATTCGTGGACGGGCGAGTGAATGAAAACGGTGGTAGAAGTAAGGTTCTAGACAAAAACGATTCAGCAGCCAATCGCGACAGTCTTACTCGGATAGCTCCAAATCACAATGCCACAGGAACCAATGCCAAAGCCCCACAGGATGCGGTTGCAGCCAATGCTACCCCTGCAGCAGCAGCAGCCCATGCTGCCTCGTCAGCTGTAAATGCCATTCGCAGCAGCCAATCAACCCAGGATGCTTCTGCTGGTGAGGCCACCCCACCAGCGACAGCCAATGCTATCCCATCAACAGCAGCTATTGCTTCCCCATCGCCGCCCGAAGTGTCGACGAGAAGGCGGTTGGTGGAGGAGCAGGGCATAGGGGGCAGCCGGCAGGTGCCAGAGAAAGGGCGGCGGCAGAAAAGAGAAAGAGGGCGGCAGATGATAGAAAGCGGACGGCAGGGATCGGCAGCATCAAGCGGATCATCCAGTGGTGTATCGAGCGGTGCAGTGCAGTTGAAATGCCCTCCCATCAGCTCACAGTTTATCACGCCAGGCATGGTGCTTCTGCCCAATTGCTCCCTTGCCATAGCCTCTCCAGAGGACGGGCTGAAGGCATGGGAAGGCAGAAACGGCGAGGGGAAGCAAGGGCCAGGGGAGGAGGGAGAGGAGGAAGGGGACGGGGAAGAGGAGGAGGAAGTGGAGGAGGTAGGGGGTGAGGGAGAAGGGAGGGGGGTGCGGTATGGGGGGGGGAGGGGGTGGGCGGGGCGGGTGGTGGAGTTGAGGGGCGTGTGGGTGGACGGGCAGGGGCGGGTCTTCAACGCCTCTCACCTCTTCTGGCCGGGCGGATGCGGCAGGAAGAGGGCGCTCAGTGAGGTGAGATACGGTTGAGTGCGGTGAGATGCGTTGTAGTATGGTGGGATGCGGTCCAGTGCGGTTCAACGAGGTGGGCTGGAGCAGGAAATTGTGCATTGGGGCAGGGGCGGGTCTTCAACGCCTCTCACCTCTTCTGGCCGGGGGGGTGCGGCAGGAGGAGGGCGCTCAGTGAGGTGAGATGTGGTTTGGTGCGGTGAAGTGCGGTTTAGTGTGGTGAGACGAGGTAAGTGGGAAACAAGCTGCTGTCCATTGGGGCAGGGGCGGGTCTTCAACGCCTCTCACCTCTTCTGGCCGGGGGGGTGCGGCAGGAGGAGGGCGCTCAGTGAGGTGAGATGTGGTTTGGTGCGGTGAAGTGCGGTTTAGTGTGGTGAGACGAGGTAAGTGGGAAACAAGCTGCTGTCCATTGGGGCAGGGGCGGGTCTTCAACGCCTCTCACCTCTTCTGGCCGGGCGGGTGTGGCAGGAGGAGGGCGCTCTGTGAGGTGCGATACGGTTGAGTGCGGTGAGATGCAGTTGTGTGAGGTAAGATGCGTTTTGGTGAGGTGAGATACAGTTTAGTGCGGTGAGACGAGGTAAGTGGGAGATGGGGTGGCGTGCATTGGGGCAAGGGGGTCTTCAACTCTTCTCACCTCATCTGGCCAAGGGGATGCGACAGGTGCAAGGATCTCAGTGAGGTGAGAAGTGGTTGAGTGTGGTGAGATACGGTTGAGTGTGGAATTGTCGCCTAATGGCTTCTGCTTACAAGAATGGACGTTCATCTTCCATTTCGTTCCGTTTGTCATGTTTCAAAGTAGTCTCTTCCTATTGCTTCTGTGCACGTTTATCCAAGTGGGTTTGCCCTTGCACACATGCATGAATGTTGTGGGTTTCATGATTTTTGCTTTATTGAGCTTTCTTCGTTATGAATATTGTCTCTGATGGCATACACTCAAATCTCTTCAGTGTCGACTCAAAAAGAGGTGACTTCTGAGAGTTACTTTTAAGAAGTTCCAAATGTGACTCAAAAGTCTCACTGATGGCACACATTCACATTTCTCCTCCACCTTCCATCGTTTCCTTCACTTTACATTGTGGGGATTTGTCCTTGCGTGTGAATGATTGCATCCGAATGTTTGTATGCATGTGTGAATGACTGTGCGTGCATGTGATTGCATGTGTGAATGCACGCGGTTGTGCATGTGATTGCATGTGTGATAGCATGCCATGCCAGCTCAGCCCATCACATACCCGGCATCAACTCCAGTCACCGTTCATCCCCTCGCCATCAACCTAGCTGCCCCTCCCTCCAAATCCAACACCCTCACTCCCCCCTCCTCCTCCTCTTACTCCTCCTCCCCCTCTTCTCCCCCCCGGGCCTCCTTCTTCCACCACCTCGTGCATAACCTCCCTCTCTTCCTCCCCCTCGCTCCTCTCCTCCCTCAACTCATGGCCGAAGGGGCTCGATTCCTCGTACAGGATCGCAAGGTGAGACAAGCATGCCTCGCATATCTCCTGCTATCTCCTCCTCTCTCCTCTGCTCTCCTCGCCCCCCCCCCACCCCCAACCCTTACTCTTCCACCGCCTCGTGCATCACATCCCTTTCTTCTTCCCGCCTCGCTCCTTTCCACCCGTAACTGATTCCTGTTGCAAGATCGTGCCTTCAAATGTGTAATCCTTGCAGTGTGTGCAGTCATGGCATCCCATTATGTGGTGCACCATCAAGTGATGACACAGCCCTTCATCAAGTGGCTGCATGTCATCTCTTGATGAAGGGCTGCACCACACCACACCACACCACACCACACCACACCACACCATTTCGGAGTCCCGTCTCATCAAGTCACTTTCTCTCCTTGCCTCATTTCACTTGATATCTCTCTGCCTTCTCCGCATGTCCTTCCATGCTCCATCCATCCCTTTCCTTGCAGTGGTTGCACGTCATGGCACCACATTACATCGGAGCCCCACCTCATCAAGTCTCACTCCCTCCTTGCCTCCTGGTGCATTGCCTTGCCATTCCCTTCCGTGCCTTGTCCTTCCTTCTATCATCCCTTCCACCCCACTAGTGGCTGCACGTCATGGCACCACTCTACATCGGAGCCCCGCCGCATCAAGTCACCCTGCTGCCACAACCAGACAAACCAAACCACCTGCTCTTTGTTCAACGACTCATTCAGGTGCATTTGACTTCTGCTTAAGTTAAGACCTAGAGGAGTTGATCTTGGTTTAGGTCACTCTGCTGTCCCAACCAGACAAACTGGCCCACTTGCTCTTCGTGCAGAGACTCTTTCAGGTGCTTGCGGTTATTTCTGGTTCCAGGTGCCTTTCAGGTGCCTTCTGGTTCAGGTGCTTTCTGGTTCAGGTGCTATCTGGCTCAGGTGCTTTCTGGTTCAGGTGCTTTCTGGTCATGGTGCCTTCTGAAACACCCCATTCCATTTCGAAATGCCCCTTTCCTCCATCCCCGTCTCCCTCTCACCCTGCCTTTCCCCGGTCCTCTCCTCACTTCCCCAGCCATCTTCCCACTTCTGCTGTCGATCCGGTTTTTGAACCCAAGTTGCACATACACTGCACTTCAAATACCCCACCCCTCTATTCCCTTCCCCTCCATCCCTCTCACCTCCCCCTCTAACCCCTCCTCACTCCCCCCACCCAGCCCTGCTTCCAGCACTGCAACCGCCCCTCCCCCTCTCTCCTCTCCTCGCTGCGCTCACACCACCTCCTCCCCCTCGCGGGCCTCCCCCTCTTCCACGCCAACTGGACGCTCCGCCACCCGCCACCTGTCCCACTCCCGCCACCTGGCGGACCCGTCTCCGCTGACATGGCGGCTAACGTGGCGGCTGACATGGCGAATGCTCCAGGAGGGGCGGCTGTTGACGCGGATGGGGACGGATTTGCGGGGGTGAGGGGGGTGGTTGGGGAGGACTGGGTGGTGGTGGTGGCGGTGCCACCTGGCGCGATGCTATTGGATAAGATGGAGGAGATGGTGGATGAGATGATTCAAGACAACTGGTGGCACGGGCGAGTGGTGTACTTCCGAGGAGGCATGGGCGTGCAGGAAGGTGAGAGGCGAATGGGTTTGGGAGAGAAGGGAGAGTATTGATTAAGGGGGTATAAACAGGAATGTGAGTGAGGGGGGTTGGGGGTGACACGATGTGAGCAAGGGAGTAAGTGATGGAGAGGGGAGGGATGAGGGTGAGATGGGTGGGATGGAGGAGATGAGATGGTGGATGAGATGATCCAAGATAACTGGTGGCACGGCCGGGTGGTGTACTTCCGAGAAGGGATGGGCGTGCAGGAAGGTGAGAGGCGAATGGGGTAGGGGAGGGAGGGGGTAAAAGTGAGTAAGGTGTTGTATAAACAAGAGATTTGCAAGAGAAAATGTCTGAGACCCTAACAACGTAGAAAATATACCCCCTTTTTTTCCTTTTCTTTTTCAAGGGGGGGATGAGTGATGGAAGATGGAAGGGTTGAATGTATGCGGGTGGGGCAGTTGCGAGGGGGAGGTGATGAGGTGAGCGAGCAATGATTATTGGGAGGGAACTGTGTGAAATTGATTGATATATTACGTATTTAGTACCTTTTTTTTTTTTTTTTTTTTTTTTTTTTACGCATAAAATACACCCGTCCTAATCTCCTCTCGCCCACACCCCCCTTTCCTCCGCCTCTCCCTTTTCCCTCCCCGGGCTCTCTTCTCTCGTGTGCTCCTCCTCATCTCTCCTTCAGGGTAGGCTCTGGGTTTCCTTTTAATCCATGATTTCATAGTTCCCTCACTCTTCCTCCCCCCTCCCCCTTCCCCCCTCCTCCCCTCCCCAACAGCCCGGGCTCTCTTCTCTCGCACGCTGCTCCTCATTTCGCCGCCAGGGGAGGCTCTCGACTTGATTCTCTTCATGCCTCGCTCACAATCACCCATCCACCTTCCCCATCTCCCCAACCCCTTCCCCCCCTCCTCCCCTTCCTCTCCCAACAGCCAGGGCTCTCTTCTCGCGCACGCTGCTCCTCATCGCGCCACCAGGGGAGGCTCTAGACTTCATTCTCTTCATGCCTCCTGCTGCTGTCGTGCTCGAGTTACATCCCTTTTTGTGGGGAGGGCCTGGGGTGCCTTGACCGGCTTCTCATGGATAACCCTCGTTCCTCCCTCCTCCTGCTCTCCTTCCCTCCTCCTGCTCCCCTCCCTCCTTCTGCCCGCCTCCCCACCCTCTTCCCGGCCCAACAGCCACGGCTCTCTTTTCGCGCACTCTCCTTCTCATCTCGCCACCAGGGGAGGCTCTAGACTTCATTCTCTTTATGCCTCGCTCACAACCAACCATCAATTTACCCCATCTCCCCACCCCATTCCCCCCTCCTCCCAACAGCCAGGGAACTCTTCTCTCGCACTCTCCTCCTCATCTCGCCACCAGGGGAGGCTCTAAATTTCCTTCTCTTCATGCCGCCTGCTGCTGTCGTGCTGGAGCTGCAACCCTCCTCCCATCCCTCCTCCTCCCACCGCGCTCTCTCTCTCTCCCTCTCCCACCGCCATCACACTCTCTTCTGCAAGCTTCTAAACGTTTCCGGGCAGCCCAAAAAGCTTTCGTGTGACCGTGTCACGCTCACACAAGTCATGCAAGCCCTCTCCACAGAAGTTTTTTTCAGCCCGCCGCTGCCCAGAGGCACCTGGGCAGCACGAGCTGCCCTGGGGAAAACATCCATACCTGGGTCGTTAATCCACGGGCAGGGGCAGGTGAAAAAATGGAAGGAATGGTCAGCATGTGTTGACCGAAAGGGAAAGTGGGTCCTCAACCCAAAACCCCGAACCCTGCCTTGGGATTACCGGGGCGTGAGCAATTACTGCGATAACCGACACTTAAGCTTAAACTCAACCCACATGGCATACGCTAGTGCTGATGCATATGCGGTAAAGCCAGGGGCGAGTGAGGCGGGGTGGACGGTGCGGGAGGGGGTGAAGTACGAGTGGGTGGTTGGGCCTTCCACATGCCCAGCCCCTCAAGTGCCCGAGGAGATTAAAGCCTTTGAACGATCAGCTAAGGCACGTCTCAAAGAGGCTCAGGAGAAGGAAAATCTAGTGCGATCTCAGGTGGGAAAAAATGGAACGGGAGGAGCAGCAGCTGAGGCAGAAGCAGAAAAAACAGCAGCAGCCGCAACAGAAGCAGCGGCTGCAGCGGCGGCGGCGGCAGCAGTTGCAGACCTATCGAATCCCTGGCTGCCGTTCAATGCATCAGTCTTCTGCGAGCGGGTGGGGCGGGGCCGACGCATTCTCTTCCTGGGGGATTCCAAGCAGTACCAGATGGTGCAGGCGCTTGTCAACCACATGGCGTGGGGGTGGAAAGGAAAGAGGAAGCCGGCAAAAGACATGGTGACTCTGGAGGAGCGGCCGAAGGCGTGTGTGGACGCGCTGGGAGGGAATACGGCAAAGATGGGACACGAGTTTTGCCAGTGGTGAGTTCTATGTCTAGCCCTTTCTCTCCCTTCCTGGGAGATTCAAAGCAGTACCAGATGGTGCAGGCGCTTGTGAACCACATGGCATGGGGGGCGTCAAACAAGGGAAAGGATGCAAAGAAGAAGCCGGCAAGGGAGATTGTGAATCTGGAGAAGCGGCCGAAAGCGTGTGTGGATGCGCTGGGAGGGAATACGGGGAAAATGGGGCATGAGTTCTGCCAATGGTGAGTCACCTTATAGCGAGTCAAAGGTGAGTTTTATGCCAATCCTCCTGGGGGATTCCAAGCCAAGCAGTACCGATGGTGCAGGCATTTGTGAACCGCATAGCGTGGGGGTTGGAAAATACTGACTGCTTTGCATCTTTGCTCAACCACTGTTTCATCAGTTCCTTCCGCACCCTCCCTCACCCACACCCCTCCTGTTTCCAGGTTCACTTTCAACTCCTCGGTATGCCCGGGCTTTAAGGTTGACTTTGTTCGTAACGACCACTTATCGTTGTTTGATCCAAAGGGGGCAGTATTCGACCACATGCCATGGGGCCAGCCTGGTGTGGCAAATATCCCCTCTGCAGACGTCATCGTTTTAAACAGAGGCCCGCACTGGACCCCTACACCTCTTTTCATTTCCGGCGTACAAAACGCTTTGCGGTTTATTCGGCATAATTTTCCAGATAAGCTAATTATTTACAGGAACACTCCCCCTGGGCACAAGGATTGCGAAGGTTACGACCGGCCGTTGGAAAAGCGGCAAGAGCTGGGGAGTTTGCCGTTTAACTGGGGTGAATTCCCCAAGCAAAATCAGGTGGCTAAAGAGTTGGTGGAGCAGGTTGGAGGGGTGTATTTGGATGTGGAGGAGATGGTGGGGCTGAGAGCTGATGGGCATAACGCCTTCATGCCAAACAGGAACAAAACGGACTGCTTACATTACTGTTTCCCCGGTCCTTTAGATGTTTATGTACAGTTCATGTACCTACAATGCACTCATACGGCTGCTGCCACCACCACCACCTGCACCACCCGTTTGAGTTTGACTCCATTGATCATGAGTTGAAATTAATACTGTAAGTGTTGCTATTTCCGATTATGTATCATTCCCTTTCTTTCACAATCGAGTGCATCGTTTGTTGCGAGGTGGACACCCGACAAGGGTAGTTGCACGTGAACTACCGGTAGGTGCAGTATGGTACTTATAGCTGAAGAGGGATCTTCAGCTAGCACCACAGCCTTTATTATGCAAGGCAACGGCATGTGAAGGCACACCAGTGGAGTCAAACTCAATGCAAGCAAGCCGATTTTGCTGTCCACTTGCACTTGGAAGCCAACCTAGCATGCTATTGTCACTGCATCCAACCAAAGCATACAATAGTGTCTTGCATTTGAAGCTTGTCAAATACTGTGACTGAAGCAAGCCTGGAGACGCTGTAGTCCCTGCCGACATCAATAATTAATAAACGGTGTCCTTCCGCTGGTCAGAGACCACCTACTAAAACTGCTGCTGCTGCTCTCCTTCCACCGCCACTGCTGGCTGCTAAAACTCTTCGGCTACAGCCTACAGACTATGGTACCATAGCGCGGAGAGGCTAGAGTACCCTGCTGACAATAACAACTAAACATCAAAATCCTTCCGCCGACCACAGAGACCACCAAAGCTCTCCTTCCACCGCCACAGCATATCCCTCCAAGTCCTCCGCTTCCTCCTCTTACCGTCCTACCCTCCTCATCACCAAGCCCCCTCTCAGCCTTCCCACCAGCAGCGTCAATACTGCTGCCAACGCTCTTGCGCTTGTACCTGCCTTCCTTCATGCTTGAATCTGGAGAAAGTGCACAATCCGCTCCTCTTGGAGATAGAGCACAATGCGCTCCCCCAATATCCCTGTCCGTAGCATTTTCAGGGGTATTTGCAGAGGCAGAGTCATCAAATCTGACAAGCCCCATGAAGCTTCCACAAAGAGGATCATCAGATCTGACACTTCTTGTGTCATTCGCGTTTGGAGCTGCTTCGTTAACAGTTCCCAGTGATTCCACTCTGTCCAATAGCTCATTCAATTTCCGAGCCATGTCTCTTCTCAGAGCCCGGACCTCTTGGTTCGGCTGCACTTCGTCCAGCCGAAGCAACCAGCACATAATAGTCTCCGTCGCCCGAACCTTCTCGCGAAGGTCGGACGCGATCTTTTCTACAAAGTCCTTATCATCAAGGCTTTCCTCCATGTCCCGAGCCAGCTTCCGAAGCTCCAGAATGGTCTTACCCACTTCCAGAGGCTTCGACGCTCGCACCTGATGACCCCTCCACGCCGCCTGGATAGCAACTGCTGCTTCATCTCTCGAAAAATGACTCGGAGGACGACCAACAGCTGACAGACCAGCACGACATTCTGAATAACTACCTGCTTCATTGAATCCGGTCGATTTTGGCGCTATTCCTTCGAAAGGTGCTCTGCCAGGGTCCGATTTCCTAGAAGTGTCGCGCTGATGCGTCAGATGCTGTCCGTGTTGTAAACTGACGGATTGATGGAGCTGGTTGCATGTCCGGCTTCTCGCAGCTTCCCATTGAGGCGCCTATGCTGTCCTTGTTGTAAACTGACGGACTGATGGAGCTGGCTGCACGTCCGGTTTCTCGCAGCTTCTCGAACCCTTTCCAGCTGCTGCGATCTTCGCACATCCGAATGTTGCCGAGGGAGGACGGTATGATAATGAACTGTAGCTGGATGATTCTGAATGCCTGGTCTTGATGCCGAATGGGGGTCAACTGAAGGAAATGGACGACTTGGAACATGCTGATGCGCTGGGAAAGTGTCACGCGGACGGTGCACTGGGGATGATTTCGCTGATCCCTGACTCCGGACGCGCGTATCCTGCTTCCTGTCAAACGCCATTGCTGGATGTCGTTTCTCGCAACTCTTCAGGAGATTTTATTCTGAAATATTGAAAACTTGAAGACCGGAGAAATCTGATCATAATTAGAAACCTGCGTAAGACGCTGGGAGACACTGGGAGAAACCTAACTCATAATAGACATCCGCCATAAAGTCTCCATTTTTCTCGCTTCATGGCTCCACCATATAAAGAACGTCAGCTATATTAGGTGCTTGAAATAAATGGCTAGGATGGAGACTCAATAACAGCTCTTCACCATACATCCCATCAGACTCATCAGCCATGACCATTCTTTACCGTCAGACCAGGGAAAGGAAAGGGCGGGAAAATCGAGTGCGAGAGAAGGATCGAGCAGTTCCCGGAGGGCGTGTGCAGTGAGGTTCTGAACAACTTTGGTTCGAATTGTTACCACACCGCACCACGCTACTTTTCAGCTGAACCTTTCTTACGATGCATTGCGAAACGATTGATGTGGACATGGTGGTGTTTGGCGAAAACGCCTCACAGGGAGGTCACAGTTCACAGTTCGCGTAATTTTTTTTTACAAAGCGGTGAGTCAAGTTTCGAAGCGGTAAAGCAGACGAACTGCTTCAAGGGCCGACACCTTGAAAATCCGCGTGTGATGGTTACACGGTGGCCTGCCAGTGGTGTGATGTGTGTGATCCTTCGGTATGATCCCTGCTTCGTTGTGCAGCCAAGATGCAAATTACCCGACTCGTGATCCGTGCATGCACTGATGTTGCGATACGTTTCTCGCAACCAGCCGCGTGCAGTTTCACTCTACTAACTGCTTTCCTACCCTATTTATGCCATGGATCTAGACTCTAGGGGATGATTCGAGCGTTTACGAGGTTTTTTTGCTCATTAATCTCCTGTTTTCGAACGGACTTCAATGATGGTCATCGTCGCCCTCGAATCAGACCCAAATTTTAGTTCAATCTGCTGCTGATTAGCCGAAATAGCCAGATTCGCATAGGCAACGAAGCGTCAGATAGTAATTCAGTACTAACGAGGCGGAATTGGCATTTCAGCCGTCTTATCCGGAAACATGTTTTGGTAATATGGTCTTAAGCTAGATCTGCATACGCGAACCGCACCGAATCCTGCCAGATCGATTGCAATGGCTGCTCAAGGCTCGGGCAGTAACAACGTATACCGTCCGCTGCTGCTACCGGCCGTCGTCTTCCTCTCTCTTCTTCTGATTTATTATGGACTTTTCTCCGACGCCTTTTCCCAATCCTGGCCGCTGGGTCCTTCAGCTGCGGTTACCACGCCTATGGTTACCAGCACCTCTGAGGTTACCACCTCGTTGGTTACCGTGCCCATGGTTGCCACGTCTACACCCGCAACTTCGCCTGATGCGCTTTCCGAGTCAATTCCGGGTACCACCAATAATAGTTCCGATCCAAATCCAGTTGTAGTACCTGACACCAGCAGCAGCGCTGATACCCCTAGCATCAGCACCCCTGCTCCTAATAGCAGCAGCATCCCTGCTCCCAGCATAAGCTCGCAGGGAGTGTTGCAAGATTCCAACACCACTACCAGCACCAGCACGCCGCAGGTAGTATCACCCGAAGATCTGATCTCAATAGTCGATATCCCCAAAGATTTGCCGCAGTCTCTTGTGAAGCCTGATTTGGATCTTCCAATCGCGGATCCCCCAGCGCCCCCGATCCCCTCACTTCCAACCATCCCCGGTTCCCGCATCACCTCAGCCAATCAGCTTCTCGCGTTTCAGTCTCGCCTCGCGTGCCTATCAACGAACGCCACGTGGCATCTGGACCCCACTCCCCGTACCCTCCCCTGGTCGCAACCTCACGCGGTCAGTGCAGGTTGGGAGTGTGACGATATGTGGAGGAGCCAGCCCGAGCAGAACAACTCCCGTTATAAGAACGTCGCCTTTAGGGAAGCAGATGAGATAGCCTTGGCAGGAGGTTCGGCAGAGGAATGGAAGGTGCGGGAGACGGTGAAGTATAAGTGGGTTCCTGAAGGGAGGTGTGGGGAGTGGGGCGAGGTGGACAAGGGAAAACTTGCGGAGAAATTGGAGGGGTTGACTGTGTTTATTGTGGGGGATTCGATAAACGCAATGCTCTTTAAGTCGCTAAAGAATCATTTCAGGCAGACGTTGATGCCCGGTGGTGTAAAGCAAGGGGAGCAGCAGCAGCAGCAGCAGCAGCAGCAGGACCAGCAGGGGGGGCTCCTCGAACCGGTCGAATTCACTCCTGCTTTCTGCAAGAGCCGCACTAAGAACAGGATGCTGCAGCAACGGCCGTACCTGCTTCTGTGCACCGGGGTTGCGCTGGGTCGAACCAAGTTCATCTACGTGCGAGACGATGTAATGAGCACTGACTTGAAATTATATGTGAAGCTGCCGAAACGGATTTCTGTGCCGTGGCTTGATGTGATTGTAAAGGGCGAAGCGGTGAGGGAGAAACGGAGGAAGGAGCAGGAGAAGAGGAGGCTGCAGGAGGAGAAGAAGAGACGGCAGCAGGAGAGGCGGATGCAGCAGCTGGAGGGGTGGCAGGAACGGAATGAACAGAAGGAATGGCTGGAGCAGCAGAAAAGACGGAAGGTGCAAGCGACACAGGGAATCCAGGTGAAGGGGGAGCGGCAGGTGGAGCAAGGAGAGGGAGAGGAAAAACAGATGGGGCAGAGGAGACTGTTTGGCTGGCCGTTTTCTGTGACCCAGCAAGCATCTGCAAATATAGACCCGGATACCAGCGGAAGTGGACGGAAACGCACGTATTGGCAGTATTTCCAACGTCACTTCAGGAAGCTCGCAGCATCATTTCCCAACGACGACCCATTTCCTCCCATATCGGTTCTTGTGCTCAACCGAGGGGCCCATTGGGTGGAAACGCCCTTATTCATTGCCGAGCTTAATCACACATTAACTACAGTAAGAGCAGCTGCACCGAATCTTCTTATAATCTACAGAAGCACCGCCACGGGACATAAAAACTGTACAAAAGATTCTGTGCCGTCGATCGGAAATTCCGATC